CCCACCTCCCATACCCATGGTCCCATGCTGACTGAGGACTCTGACCAGTCTCTGAGGCCCACTGAGTCAGAAGATGCCTACGGAAACACATGTGAAAGGGTTGGAAAATAAGATCTGGAAGAAAAGACTTTTAAACCTGGATGGAGTGAATGATGTGTTTAAATCTTTGTTTTTCCAAAATTGGAAGCTGTCAGAGTGCGGGGACCTGCCCCTGATTCTGTCTCTTCTCAGGCTTAGCTCTGCTCTCTGCATAAATAACAGTGCCTGTGACGATTACATAAAAGCTTTCCCACCCTGTCTTCAGACTGCAGTCTAAAGAAAGTGAAGAGTGGGAGGACAAGGGCATTTGTAGCTTTGATCAGGAGGACACGGTGACCGTGAGGATGGAGGGAATGCGGTGCGAGTATACTGTTGTGTTACTGTGAATTGCTAGAACTCAACTTGTAGCCACACCTAAAGCTAGCCCAGCCATGACTGAAAGGACTGCCCTCCAGGGAAAAGGCCGGCTCCCTCCAATGGGACGGAGAAGGGGCAGGGCACATGGCGAGCCAAAATGTGGTGATTCTGAGAAGCCCACAGAATTCTGCCAAATGCCACAGACACACTGAACCAGTTCCTGCACCAGAAAGGGCGGGGGGGAGGGGGGAATCCTCCTGTTCTCTGAGGAGCATGAATAACAATTACAGGTCACTCCCGACTGCACACAAATGGGGGGTTCCAAATGTTGTTATGACGCCACCCCCTCCCAAGCATGGGGTTGACAGTGTGATAAAAGTCCTTATCTGTAGTAGCAGGATTATAGTTGGCAAAGCCAAGGCCTCATAAAATACAGGCAGAGGAGAAAAGCATTAAGAGTTGCGTTGATGTATGTGCTTAGAACAGTAAATGGAGATCGTAGGAGGCGTCCGTCCCCTGGATGAGCACGAGTTAATCATGAAGGTGGCCATTTGTGAATGACTTTTTTGACTGGCCTTCTTCGCTTGTTTGGGATTTGTTGCCCACATCTGCCAAGACACAAGCTCCAGTGACCAGCCAGACTCTTGAGTGTGCAAGAACCTGTCCTCAGAGAAGGGACCTCTGTGGCAATGATAGTTGGAAATGATCACTCTGGACGAGAACCGAGTGCTGAAAGGAAGTAAAGGGACATACATGATAACCTTTCAGTACCTGTACTGCAAACCACAATGCCTAAAAGAAGAGAGAGAGAGGTGGGGGGGGGGGGTAAGAGAGAGAGAAGAAAGAGAGAAGAGAAAGAGAAAAAAGAGAGGAGAGAGAGATAGAGAAGGATCTGCCATAGAGACAGGCTGGGAGAAACTAATGTGCACTGGTGAAGGAATAGATGTTGAACATTGTGTGGCTGAAACCCAATCATGAAGCTGTATCTCAGGGTGATTGTATGTAATCATGTAGTGTAATCATGTAGTGTGTAATCATGTAGGTGTATCTCAGGGTGATTCAATATATGTATATATATATATTTATATATAATAAGATGATGGGCTGGAGCAATAGCAGAGCGGGTAGGACGTTTGCCTTACACGCTGCCGACTGGGCCGACCCGAGTTCGATTCCTCCACCCCTCTCAGAGAGCCTGGCAAGCTACTGAGAGTGTCTTGCCTGCATGGCAAAGCCTGGCAAGCTCCCCATGACGTATTCAATATGCCAAACACAGTAACAAGTGTCACAATGGAGACATTACTGGGCCCACTTAAGCAAATCGATGAATAACAGGAGGACAGTGCTACTAATAAGATGATAAGATAATTTGAAAAATAAAACCTGCTTTCTAGGACTTGAAACCATCCCTTTGCAGCAGCTGCTTGCTCTGGATCCCCATTTCCGACCTCTCCACCGCCTTTCTTTTAATGTATACATGAGAGGTCCCAAGGAGCTTGCCTTGCCTTGATTCTCAGTAGATCCCCAGCACCGTGTCTGATTCCCTCATAAATGCCTGAGTGACCACTGAGCGCCAGAAGTGGCCCCTAGCACTGTTGGATGTGACCGCCCCAAAAAATGTTTTTTGTTTTTTTGTTTGTTTTGGGGGGCACACCCAGCAGTTCTCAGGTCTTCCTGCTGGCTCTGCACACAGAGATCACTCCTGCCTGGCTTAGGGGACCATATGAGGTGCCAGTGTCAAACCCAGGTCGACTGCATGCCAGGCAAGCACCATGCCTGCTGTCCCATATGGCTCCTACCCCCTAAACAAAATCAAATTAAAATACAAATCTAAGTTCAAGTTTCTGGCACTCCATGGCTCTCTGAGCACTTTGGGGGCTCGGTGATCCCCAGCACCATAGGGCCAGAGTAGCCCCGTATGACTCTCTGGGCTTCCGGCATCTGCTGGCAGCTAGTCCAAGGATCCCTGGACAGCTGCGCATGGCTTGGGAGGGCCCCACTCCAAAAATGTCTCCCTCAAGTTGCCGCCTCCAGGCTTTTGCAAATAATGTGAGTGCTTTCTCAGTGATGCCATCATTAAGAAAGTGTAGAGACTTTCAGTGTCTTGGGATGTATGACCCTAGCTGCGGTTCTTGGGCCTTGTTTTCCTGGGAACCAGGCAGGGCTCCAAGATCAGTTCACTTTTTATAAGTGGGGTGTGAATTCTAAAGGACACACGGAGTCACCAGATCGCCTTTTTTTTTCCTTTTTTTTTTCTTTTTGGGTCACACCCGGTGATGCTCAGGGGTTACTCCTGGCTCATACACTCAGAAATTACTCCTGGCAGTGCTCGGTGGACCATATGGGATTCTGGGAATCGAATTCAGGTTAGCTGCGTGCAAGGCAAACTCCCTACCCATTGTGTTATCACTCCAGCACCTTCCCTGGCTCTGGGTAGGGACTGGCCAGTGACCACTGAGAGAGAAAGGTGAAAAGTATCTGCCACAGAGACAGGCAGGGGGGAAACAGGGGACATTGGTGGTGGGAAACGTACACTGGTGAAGGGACAGTGTTGGAATATTGTATGACATGTTCCACGTCTTTGTGTGACATTGTATGCTATCGCCGCAGGCCCGTGGGGAATACAAGTGGATATGTGTCTGCTCTCAGGCAGCTTCTGCCCCGTGGGGAGGCAAGGCAGCAACGTCGTCTCTGCTCTCTGAGGGGCCGTCCTCAGCTGTCCCCGGGCACATGCCATCGCGGTTGGTGTGAGGCCTCGCAGCTGAGACAGCCACCTCCTGGACAGCCTTTGTGGCATCTCTCCCCGAGCAGCTTGGTCCCTGGAGCACTGCCAGGGCCGGTCCTGGGAGCAGTGTGGTGGGGAGGCGAGGACCGTGAGTCCCTGCGGCTGGCACTGCTGGACCGACTCCCTCCAGTAGACTCATGGATCAGCATCCAGCACCCAGCCCCCCAAGCTGTCTTCTTTTCTTTGGGAGGGGAGGAGTTAAGATTCTTTCCTTGCTCAGGCCCAGAACAGTTGTGACCAGAAATATTTCAGTGGTTCCTACTGACTTGAGGCCAAGCCCGGAAACTTGGTTCACACACAAGACGTGGCCTTTCCTGCTCTTGTGACCCTAGCCAGGGGTCCTAGGGCCCAGCTTTCCTGGGAACCAGGCAGGACTCTAAGTTCAGCTCACTTTTTGTAGGCGGTGGTGATTCTAAATGACACTTGGAGTCGGTGTCACTCACCATACCATCTTCTTTGGCCTCTGGGTAGTGATTTAAATCAGGGATTTTCAATGTGTCTAAGGGGATGAACCAGTGTCTTTTTGTTTTTGTTTTTTAATTTTTATTTTTTTAATTGAGTCACTGTGAGATACATAGTTACAAAGCTGCTCATGATCGTATTTCAGCCATATAATGATCCAACACCCCTCCCTCCGCCAGTGTCCATTTTCTATCACCAAAGACCGCAGTTTCCCTACCATACCACCCCCACAGCCCTAGCCTGCCTCTATGGCCAATACTTTCCTCCTCTCTGTCTCTGTCTCTCTCTCCCCTCTTCCCTTTATCTTCTCTCCCCCTCTCCCCGTTTTTGGACACTGGTTTACAGCACAGACACTGAGAGGTTATTGTGTTTGTTCCTTGACCTACTTTGAGCACACAGTTCCCAACCAGAGTGGTCATTTCCAGCTCTCCTTATCAGAATGAGAAACCAGTGTCTTAAGTTTGCTTACAGTTTTTCTTAAAAATGAAATATTAGCTAATATTTCATATTAGGTATTATTAGGTAGCATCTCCAAAGAGACAGTACAGAGGTTAAGGCACTTGCCAGCATGTGATCACCCCGGTTTGATTCTTGGTACCCTGAGCACTGCCAAGAGTGTTTCCTTAGCATAGTAGCACAGAGTCAAGAGTAAGTCCCAAGCACCACCTTGTGTGGCTCCTAACACACACACACACACACACACACACACACACACACACAGACACACAAAAGATTGAAATATTTGAGAATAAAGTTCTGAGCCACAGAGGAAGCTCTTCAGGCCAGATCATTGACTTTGCAGCTGGAGGCCTGAGTTCGAGCCTCAGCACTGCTGGTGACCTCTGAGCAGAGCCAGGAAATCTAAGACATACAGCATGCAAACTTAGACTTCTGTTTTCAGACTTGGGTGACTTAAAATTCCCCTGCCCTATTGCTTTCAGTTTCTGAAAACTGAACTCTGTCCCTGAACTGAAATTTGCCAGCAGCAGGCAATTCAGAACCCTCATGAGCAGTCCCGAGACTCCTGCGGCCAGTCAGGGGTCGCTGTCCCTCCTGGCTCTCTGCCCAGGTCCCAGGCTGGTTGTGATGAAGGAGGAAGCTATCTGCTTAGCTCCCCGTCTAAGCAGATGCCTGTCACCTGGGATCCAAGGCACAGCTTGTCTGGCTCTCTGATCAGCGTGCTCACCTGCAGGGGAAATGATCCTGTACCCTGCCTGGGAAAGTCATGGCTAATTGTGATCGTTACCCAGATTCCCTTCCTGAGCAGATTTGGGTCTACACAGGTTGGACCAGCCCCGTGGGCTGTGTCTCAGGCCAGCCTGGCCAGGCTGACAGCCCTCTTCACCCTTTGTTACAGTTCTCCAAGGAGCGGCTCATCATGGAGCGGACCCCCGAGAGGCTGAAGAAGGAACTGGAGGAGGAGCTCTTGCTGAGCACCGAGGACCTGCGCAGCCACGCCTGGTACCACGGCCGCATCCCCCGACAGGTACCCGCCGGCCTTGAATGAGTCCCGGTTTAGCCAAAACCAAACTAAAGAGCAAGCCTGCAGTGCCTTCACTGGGGCTGTTCCTCAGAAGGCAGGAACACAAACTTGTCCTCCCAGGGACATCGAAAGTGGATGCTCTGAGGCTGGAGCAATATCACAGTGGGTAGGGCGTTTGCCTTGCATGCGGCCCACCCAGGTTCGATTCCCAGCATCCCATATGGTCCCCCAAGCACCGCCAGGAGTGATTCCTGAGTGTAAGAGCCTGAGTGCATCAGCCAGTGCATTCCTGTGCATTGCCGGTGTGACCCAAAAAGCAAAAACAAAAAAAGAGGAAAAAAAAAGAAAAGAGGAAGTGGATGTTCTGAAGGCGGAAGGCAGTGCAGGGAGGGAACTTTGAAGCCTTATGAGATCAGCCATGAGTGGTGCCTGAACTCTGGACTTGCTGCCTACAGCCTCAGGCCCCTGGAGCACCTGCTTCCTCTTCAGGCTGGGGCTGAACTTGAGGTGCAGAGAGGATGTGGTCCTGACAGATGCGCAGAGCAGTGAGACACTCAGAAATGACTCCCTGACTCACCTGCCCTGTCCCAGCAGTGGGGAGCCAGTGCATGACTGTACTGACCACAGGCCCTCCCGGCCTGCAGTGTGGGGTCTCAATGGGGTGAGTGCTATGAGGGTCATTCATTCAATAGTATAGAAACTGGAAAATAAAATGAGAGCAGAATTGAAGTGTCAAATTTCCCTTGGACTTGTTTTCCTGGTAACCTGATCAGAACATGCATTCTCCCAGGACAGGGCATGGGTGACTGTGAGCTAGAAGAAAGGGTATTGTATGGATTAATTGTCTTAAGGTCACAGATTTCTCAACACTAGCAAAAAAATATTCCTATTCTAGCCTTGTGGCTTTTTTCTTTCTTTCCCTCTCTCTCAGCTTAAACTTAATGGTAGAGAATAAAAAGAGCAAAAGAGAAGGGAAAAAAAACAAATAAACCCTCACCCATAATTTTTCCTCCTGGAGCTACTTACTGTGAACAGTCTGATTATATTTATATATCCTCCCAGACTTTCCTAAATCAAGCACACAATTATACTGCATGGACTTTTGTGTAGTCCCTTTCTTTGCTTAATGATCCATCTTGGGGATTTTCTCCTGATATAAAATATTCTTCAACCCCATTCTACGTCATCTCTATGTCCGCTGTTTGCAGGCCCTGCTATTTATTGGGCATTCCACCAACATAGATAACTACTATGTTCATAACTATAATTATTTCCTCAGGCAGAACTCCAAGAAATGGAATTTTGGTATAAACCCATATATAAGACAGATATGTGCTTTCAGAGTAACCATGGCAGCACACTCTGCTGAGGGAGCTAATCCACCTGGGATGTCCTGGAGAAATTGTCCAAGTTCATACAACTGAGGACTCTCATCGACATCCCTGCCCTTATGCTCCTCAGAAAATGTGTTTTTGGGGCTGGAGCCATAGCACAGTGGGTAGGGCATTTGCCTTGCATGCGGCCAACCCAGGTTCGATTCCCAGCATCCCGTAAGGTCCCTGAGTGCAGAGCCAGGAGTAACCCCTGAGCATCACTGGGTGTTTTTCTGTTGCAAAAAGCAACAAAAAAAAAGAAGAAGAAGAAAAGAAAAGAAAATGTGTTTCCTGCTTGCCACAGATAGTACTTTTCCAGATCCTATCACTGAACCTGATGATGGTGATAATCACAGACTTCACTCCTCACTCCCATATGGTGTTTGTAGCTGTTTCGTAGGTGATGTTGTTGTCCCCTGTGTCCAGATCATGGCAATGAGCCACAGAGAGACTGTAAGTCACACAGAGTTGGGGAGCCTGTGCTCTTCCTGGCTGTGTGACTTCAGGAATCACTGTGTGTGGATGGATCGTCTCCTCTTGCCCTAAACATCGGAAGCCCCGTAATTATTGACCGTGCATTGGCTCGTCTGCTCCTGGGATTGCCCTGTCCATCTCGTACATTGTATGTGCAGATCTTTAACCTTCCACGAGCAGCTAGGCCTGCTCATACTTCTGCCTCTGCAGGCGACAGCTCCAGCCAGGACTGAGGCACCGGCAGTTGCCCTCATCCCTGCTTGTTGGAAGGGGAGAGTCATACCTGTAGACACTGTCTTTCTGATATCTTATCCTCTGCCTCTTCTGTCCTTCAGACCTGCATATATGTCAGCTTCTCCCAACACCCTCCTGTTTAGAAAGAACACACACTCCTCTGCCGCCCTGTTTCCTCCTCCGGGCTCCATGTCTGCCATGTTGCCCCCACTGTTCTCACTTTCCTCCCTACAGCAGAAGCTCCTGCTCAAACCAAGCCCAGGAGCACAGGGCTCCTGTTGACCTCATTTTCTGAACTTACCCCACTGCCAGCTTAGCTGGCACATAGTAGGTGGTCAAGGAATGACTGTGGAATCTAGAAAAGGGTCTTGATATTTGAAAAGAGAATGAGCCAACTAAAGGCTTAATGGAGGGGCCAGAGCGAGAGTACAGCAGGAAGGGCGTTCGCCTTACACGCACCTGACTCTGGTTTGATCCCCAGCATCCTATATGGTCTCCCGGGCACTGCCAGGAATATTTCCTGAGCATCACCAGGTGACACAAAATAAAAATTAAAAAATATTAAAGGCCTTATATAGTTGGGAGAGATATAGCCTGAGGGGGGTGGGGTGCTTCTCAAGTGCTGGTCTGGGAGGACCCCTAGCAGTGTGCCAGGGATGACCTGGGCTACACTGGCAGTGCTCAGAGAGCCACAGCCAGTGATGCTCAGGGACCATGTGGTGCTAGGGATCAAACCCAGGTCAGGCATTACTAGGCATGCCCCCTAAGCTCTGGACTATCTCTGAGCCCTGAGGAAAGCAGCTTTTTAAAGGGACATAAGGACCAGGAGCACATGAACGGCATGCGGGAGCCCAGGGTTTGAGCCTTTGAACTGCAGGATTCCTTAAGCACTGAAGTTGTGACACAAAAGACAAATTAAATATTGATTTAAAAAACATTAAGAAGCGCAGGCATATGAGCCTGTCCCTGCTAACGCTCATTGACCATCTGACCCCCAAAGGTGTCAGAAAACCTGGTGCAGCGAGACGGCGACTTCCTGGTGCGTGACTCTCTCTCCAGCCCCGGGAACTTCGTCCTCACCTGTCAGTGGAAGAACCTTGCTCAGCACTTCAAGATCAACCGGACGGTGCAGCGGCTCAGCGAGGCCTACAGCCGCGTGCAGTACCAGTTTGAGACGGAGAGCTTTGACTCCATCCCTGGTCTGGTGCGCTGCTACGTGGGCAGCCGCCGGCCCATCTCGCAGCAGAGCGGGGCCATCATCTTTCAGCCCATCAACCGGACAGTGCCCCTGCGGTGGCTGGAGGAGCGCTATGGCACTTCCCCAGGCCTGGCCCGGGAAGGCAGCCTCACCGACAGCTGGCCGGACATGGCCAAGAGGCTGAGCCTCACGCTGGGCAGCGGCCAAGCCCGAGAGCAGGGCTCACCCCGGGGAAACCTCCTCAGGTGGGTCCGGGCTTCTCAGGCTGGGTGGGGGCTCCCCAGGGCGCTGTGGGTGCACCCACACAGGGGCAGATGGAGCTGCCCCTGGAGTGCAGAAAACACTGAAGAATACTGAGGTGGGGATACAGCTCCAGGGGAAAGAGCTTTGCAAGCAGGACATGGATTTAGTAGTCCCTTACAGACGGGGGGGCGGGGGGGACTAGAGAGAGGGAGAGAGGGAGGAAGAGAGAGAGAGAGAGAGAGAGAGAGAGAGAGAGAGAGAGAATGAGAATATTTTTGGCTTTTGGGTCACACTGTTGATGCTCAGGGTGGGGTGTCGGGAATCGAACCTGCGTGAGCTGCATCAAGGCAAGTTCCCTACTCTGGCCCGGAGAGAGAGAGAATGTTGCTAAGGCTGTCAGGTGTTCCTGGATGCTGTGGGGGCCGAGGAACGATCTTCCTCTGAGCTGGTACCACAAATAAGGTATTTGTTGAGGAAGGGCAGAGAAGGGGCTGTCAGGAAGGACTTTATGAGCTCAGGTTACTGTTTAGGTGAGGCCTGGGAAAATGTGGGGGAGATGTTGCAAATGAGAGAAGGGGGACACGGGGATAAGGTGGGGGACAGTGCAAGTGGAAGTGAGCAGGAGCAGGAGTGGCTTGGAGGGGCTCTGGGTGGAGCCGGAGCAAGGATACCTACAGGGGCAGCTGCAGGGAGGGGCCCTGCCAGGCAGGCAATACAGGCCTTGAAGCCAGGCTGGGACAGAGGGGGACACAGAGATGTGACACGTGAACCTGGTGTCCTTCAACAGCACCCAACAGTGGTGTGCAGGCAGTAGGGGGCAGAAGACCCGTATGAAGTTGTAGAAAATTGGGGTGAGGCTGGAAGGGGGCATCGGGCCTGTGGAAGGGGTGCAGACCTTGAGGACTTTGCTGTGAGTGGGGAGGGGAATTCTGACCCGAGGGGGTGGGCATTGGAGGAAAACAAGCATCAGAGGGGCTTGTGAATGCCAGAGTTTCGCGGCAGTATGGGGGTGCTATTAGGGTTGTTCAGTTTGGTGCATGCAGAGAGGAAGTTTGGCCCAGGGAGAGCTGGAGAGCTAAGACCTGCATCTGGGGGATGGGGGGGAGATCCAAGGACTGGCCCTGCACCTGCCGCCTCAGAGTGAGCTCTGTGTTCATAGAGGACCTGCCTCATGGAGCTCAGCACCTTCATGTGTGTGCATGTGTGTGCGTGCGTGCATGTGTGCACATGCATACATATGTGTACACATGCCTGCATATTTATATGTATACATGCACATGTGTGCATACATGTGTGTGCACATGTATACAGTGTATGCATGTGTTCGTGTGTGTGCATGTGTGTGCATACATATCTGCATGCATACATGTGTACATGCATGTGTGTGCATGCATGTGTGTGTGCATGCATGTGTGCACATTCATCACAGGTGCTGGCAAAGGAAAGCAGTGAGAAGGCAGGTGAGGGGAGAGGCCCCTGGCCTATGGGTGACACAGCCCTCCCCACAGCCCAACTTTTCCACACACACATTCACACATTCAAAGCAACCTCTTTCATTCCTGGTTTTCTCTCTGAACCAAGAGGAAATGCCACACACTGTCATTTCTAGTCAACATTCAGAAACAAAAAACAAGGCTGTTAGCAAAACAGATTCCAACATGTGTGAGGCGGAAGCTCCAGGCTCTGAACGCAGGTCCTTCTCTGCTGGCCGGCCTGCTGCTCACCCTCTGTGCCTGCATCTGGACAGATTGGTCTTGTGAGGGCTCCATGCACAGTGCTCAGAGCAGTGTCAGCAGAGTCAGGGTCCGGCGGCACTGATACCTGTCACCTCAGGTTGGGTGGGGTCGCTGCGTGCTGTTTGCCTGAGGTGGGCAGTGGAGCTGTGAGTGGCAGGGCTGTTGCTGGGGGCGTCCTTCTCCATGTAAGGAGACTGGACTTCAGATCCCTTTCCAGATAGAAAATGGTGTTTTTTCTTCTGTATCTGATCTGACAGGATCACTGTCCTGGGGTTCTTTGTTTGCACTCATGTGGGCACACACAGTGCCTGCCGGAGGTGGAGCTGCCAAGCAGGAAGGCACAGGTTGTCGGTGTGTTGCTTATTTTTTAAGATTAAAAAAATGAAAGACTGAGAATGTGGCATAAGTCAATCAACAAGCCTGGCAGCGGCACTTTTCCGACTGCCCTTTGAAAGCAGGGCTCTGCCGGCAGCTGTGGGGCTGACTAAGCGGTGGGGGCCGCGCCCCGCTGGAAGACAGAACAGCTCATGCCCTGCCCTGCCCCACTGCCCTTCAGTGGCTCAGTACCTTCCCTGACGTCAGGCCCAGCGGTTGGCTGGCCTGTCGCCACAGGCGAAGGTGTGTGCTCAGCCAGGTAACATTCCAGGCGGGCGTTCTGGGCCGCGGCTTCTGACCGCTGTGGAGCGACGCCTCACGGGAACCACTGCCTTTGGAATTAGCCCTCTGTCCCACCTTCCCGGGAGTTGCCGGCATTTCTCTGTTGCTGGGAGTTTAGGGATTTTGATTGTTTGGAGGGTTTATCTTTTTTCTCTTTTGGCTTTTTTTTTTCCTCTGATGCTTGCAAAGGTAGGAAAAATTTGGCAATTTCTGTAACATAAGTTTGTGGGAGGATGCATTAAACAGCCTGGCTTGGTGTACTGCAGTCTCTTCCCAAAAGGGAGATCTGCTTCATGGCAATAGTTAGAGAAAGTTTCAGTCTGGGTTGGAAGGGGAAGACAGAGGTGCGGTAAGAAATGATGTCTAGAGTCAAGTGTCTCTTTGCCCCTGTGCGGTAGCTACGCTTATCCTTTTGCCATCTGACTGGCTGCAGGGTCCCCCAGAGCAGCCAGGAATTGAGCAAGACAGCCTTGGGGCATGCCTGCAGATTGGGGGGTTGGGTTGGGGAGGGGGCACCAAGATTTGCACTGAAGTGAGTATGGCTCTATAGCTACCTTCCTCATGGTCAAGATTGAGGGGGAGAAATGCGTTAGTTAATTAAACAAATGATTCCTCCCTGGGCATGTAAGTTAGCCTGATGTTCCCAGACCGGGTTCTGCAAGCTTTCCCAGTGCCTAGAACTCCCTGCACAGGCAGCCTGCAGGGTCCCTTCAGCAACTTCCTCCCGCAAGAGACATTCCTTGGCTGTTACTGCTCTTACCCTCTCCTGGGAAACTTCCCATGACACTGCCTGAAAGTCTGTGCCTTAACGATGTGTTTCTGCCCTGCTTGTCTTTTGCTTCAGAAATAAAGAGAAGAGCGGCAGCCAGCCGGCCTGTCTGGATCACATGCAGGACAGAAGAGCCTTAGCCCTCAAAGCGCACCAGTCAGAAAGCTACCTGCCCATCGGTAGGTGCTGCGGGGCTGACTGGGGGAGATGGCGTGTGGTGCTGAACTTTGTCAGGCTTCTTTCCCTGCATGGTTGGGGTATCCCTACTGACCAGAGGGGTTGGGATTTGTCCAGCTGCATCTGGATTCTAATCAGAGCTGCATACCTTGTGTATGCTGCCTGTAATTTACTTTTTTATTTTATCTTTTATTATTTGATTTAATTCTTAAAAGTTTTGGTTTGGGGACTACATCCTGCGGTGCTCAGGAGCTCCACCTGGTACAATGCTTGATGTTGTTTGGAGCAGGGATCAAACCCGGGTCTCCTGCATGAAAAGTATGTGCACCAGGAGTTTTTTTTTCTTTTTGGGTCACACCTGGTGATGCACAGGGGTTACTCCTGGCTCTGCACTCAGGAATTACTCCTGGCAGTAGCTCAGGGGACCATATGGAATGCTGGGAATCGAACCCGGGTCAGCCGCGTGCAAGGCAAATGCCCTACCTGCTGCACTATTGCTCCAGCCCCCTGCACCAGAATTTTGAGCTGTCCCCCTGACCCCTTGCACTATTTGTTCCATTTTATTTTTATTTTGCGGTGTCCACGACCTCTCACATGTATGACAGGCACTTGATCTCCAAGCTGCATCCCAGGCATGAAGCTTTTATTTTATTGCTTGTTTTTTGCCACACCCGGTGGTCCTGGCTCTGTGCTCAGAGATTATTCCTGGTGGGGCTCAGGGGACCCCATGTTTTGGGGTTTGTTTTGTTTTGTCTCCACACCAAGCGGTGCTCAGGGATCACTCCTACTGGGGCTTGGGGAACCACGTGGGGTATCAGGGATGGAACTTAGGTCAGCCTCATGCTGACCTCAAGGCACTACTCACCATACTATCACTCAGGCCCCTGGGACTTTCAGCCTTGTAACCAGCCTTTTGATAGCAGTCATAGCTCTCCCTGTTATGCAGCTGAGAAAACAAAGGCACAGAGGTCAAGTAGTTTGTCCAGATTCTTCATCTGGTCCTGGGCTAAGGCGGAAGCAGAGCCTGTCCTTGGATTCTGAGCTCATTCATTCACTGAGTGGTTCTCAGGCAAAAGCCCCTACTGTCTTTGTCACCAACAGGGTAAAGGTGTGTATTGAGGTGTGTGTGGGGGGTGATGCTGGGGCTCACAGAGTAGCAGACCCGAAGGCCTCTCTCTCTCCCTCCAGTCCCTTACTGGCCATCAGTGTGAGGAGTGGGGGGGGGGGGGGCGTGAGATATGGAGAAACTGAGCAATTCTGGGCATGGGCATAGGGTGGCATTTCATTGTTTTCATAACAGATCGACTTTGGGACTTTCCTGATGCCCTCTGGGGTCATATTGGAGACCTCTCCTCCCTTCCCAGGCTCTCTAGTTCTCCCTGAGATCTGACCTCTTCCTAACAACAGCCCCCCTTCTCCCCCCCACTCCCACACACACCCTGCCGGGGCTTTGCAAGGGATTCGTCCTTTCTGCTCATTCTCAGGGCAAGATTAGGTCACTCACTGCCCTCTAAGCTTCTGGTATTTCCCTGTTCTCATGGTACCAGCCTCCTGTGACCACAGCGGGACATGGCAGCTGGCAGTCCCGGGGACAGACTTGGCCCCCAATGTGGGCTGGGTCCAGCATAGCTCTTGCAGTGCTGTAAAAGGCTCTGAGTGGGGGCGTGGGGGAACCGTCTCGGTTTTCTCTGAGAGGAGTGAAACCCGAGGCTGTGCATGCTGCCAAGTTTTGTTCTGAGCTCCCTATTATGTGCTGCTGAGCATTTCCTGACTGCCCCCCCCCACTTCCTCCACAGGCTGCAAGCTGCCCCCTCAGTGCCCAAGTGTGGACACGAGCCCCTGCCCCAACTCACCCGTTTTTCGGACGGGCAGTGAGCCCACGCTGAGTCCAGCGGTGGTGCGGAGGGTCTCCTCGGACGCCAGGGCAGGGGAGGCATTGAGGGGTTCAGACAGCCAGCTGTGCCCCAAGCCACCCCCCAAACCCTGCAAGGCACCCAGCCTCAAGGCTCCCCGTTCTCCGTCCACCTGGCCCCACGTGGAGGCCAACTACTGTGAACTGAACCCCACCTTTGCTGCGGGCTCTGACAGGACCGCCAGGTCCCCCTTTGCGGCTCAGGACAGCTACGTGGAGCTGCTGACCAGCAAACAGAAAGGGACGCCGGAACCCAGGAACTCTGGCACCAACTACTTGATCCTTGATGATGAGGACAGGGGGAGGCCTTGGGGGACCCCCACAGTGTTGCTGGGCCAGGGCCAGGAGGCCCCAGGAGGGTTTGTGCCCCCGCTCCTGGAGACAGCCTCCTCCTTCCGGCCCAACGACTTCGAATCCAAGCTGCTGCCGCCCGAGAACAAGCCCTTGGAGACGGCCCTGCTGAAGCGCGCCAAAGAGCTGTTCATCCACAACGACCCCAAGGTCATCGCCCGCCACATGCTGGGCATGGACTGCAGGGTGAGTATGGGCCGGTGCCGGGCTAGGCTGGCACCTTCCCCTGGGACTCTCTCCGACCCTGGAAGTCGGCCTGCTTTAAGTGAACAAATAAAGCGCACCCACAATGGCAGCCCCTCCCCATCATACCGGCACCCCACGGGGAGCGGGCTGGTCAGCCTCTGTGGGAAACGTGCTTAGAGCATGCTCAGAGAAGCCTGAAGATAACCAGGCTCCGGGCTGGAGTTTACTCACAGGGTGGGACCCATAGGGCAGGACAACCTTTGTCCAGACAGGAAGCCCGTGGAATGTATTTACCTGGGGCACAGGGCTGGCTGGCGGCAGGACCCCAGGACCATACAGACACCCCCGTTCCTTCTCTCTGTCTCCTCAGGCCATTGTGCTCCTGCCTGGCTGACTCTGAGTCTCTCCTCCCGGGTGCTTAGAGGGCTGAGGGCTTGTGGCAGGGGAACCCCTGATCAGTCCCTACCCACCCTTTCAGCACAGAGCTTGGAGTAGCCCCAGAGGACAGCCAGATGTGGCCCCAAAATTAAAAACATAAGCAAAAACAAAAAACGGAGAGAGTGGGGGCATGGGTTGGGAGCAAAGAAATCTTCCCTGGCTTCAACATCAGCAGAACTAGTAAGAGGAAAGTGGATTATAGGTGAAAATGTGCATAATGGGTAACAGAGGCTTAGTGGGTTTTATATGTTATTTAAATAAATAGAGAAATTTACTAAAGTGGTCTAGGATAAGTACAGTTTGGGGGGTTTGGGTGTGTGTGTTTGTTTGTGTGTGTGTGAGCGTGTGTGTATGCTTCATCCATTAATGCTCAGGGCTCACTCCTGGCTCTGTACTCCAGGATCACTCCTGGTGGGACATAGGGGATTATATGGAGTGATGGGGATTGGAACCCACATTGACTGCATGCAAGGCAAGCTGTACTATCTGGTCCCTAAATAAACATTTTTTGAAGTTGATTTTTATTTTATTTATTTATTTTGCTTTTTGGATCACACCTGCAGTGCTCGGGGACTGGCTCTGCACTCAGGAATCACTCCTGGCAGTGCTCGGGGGGACCATATAGGATGCTGGGAATCGAACCAGGTCAGCTGCATGCAAGGCAAACGCCCTTCCCGCTGTGCTATCGCCCCAGCCCCAAGTTGATTTTTATTTTTAACAGAAAGTGCTTCCTAATTTTAGAAAAATTTAAAAATACAATTTTAAATTGTAGTTTTAAAATATAACGGTCATAGGGGCTGGAGTGATCGCACAGAGAATGGGGCGTTTGCCTTGCACACGGCCAACCCGGGTTCGATTCCCAGCATCCCAGACGGTCACCCGAGCACCGCTAGGGGTAATACCTGAGTGGATGAACCAGGAGTAACCCCAGTGCATCGCCGGGTGTGACCCAAAAAGAAAAAAATATATAACGGTCATAAAATAATAACATATACACGAAGAGAAAGAAAACAAAATCATACAAAATCCAGGCACCCAGTGACCATCATTGATAACATTTGCTCAGCAAATAGCAACATAGACTAAGTGCGCATTTATCTGTGTTTACTGCAGAAATGACGCAGGTGGATAAACAATTCACACCCTGCTTCAGTGGAGAACATCTCATATTTATTCCTGCAGCTGAACACCGTCATTGTGTGTGTTTGTTTTTGAGCCTGGTGGATGCTTAGGGGTTACTCCTGGCTCTGCATCCAGGAATCACTCCTGGCAGTGTGCGAAGGAACAAATGGGAATTAGGGACTGAACCCAGGTTGGCCCCATCCAAGCAAACACCCTGCCCGCTGTACTGTCGCTCTGTCTCCTCCATCAGTATTTTTGCAGTGACCTTCCTTTCAGATTTGTGTGGCTCGCTCCCCGGATGCTCCTGGTGAGCAGGTGCGGTGGCAGACCCTGCCCTGCTCTGAGCAAGCAGCACGAATAGCTCCTACTTCCTGGCCCTTCTGCGTTTCTAGCTCGGTGAGACCCATTCTCCTCAAAGGTCAGGTCTTGTTTAGGAACTGGGTTTTCCTCAGTGAATTTCCTGGCTAATGAATCATGACAGGAAATCCTGAGCCTTCCTCCAGGGAGCGGCCAGTTGCTTAAGGGCGAGGGTTCATGGGGGGTGGGGGCGAGGGGAGGGGTTGCAGGGAGATCTGAAACTGAGAAACAGTACAGTAGGCAAGCATTTGTCATCCTGTGTTAACAGAGACACCCATGCTTGCAATTAGTGCTAATAAAGGCAGAGTCGAGTGTGAGCCACGTATGGTATGCGCAGGCCTGCATGTTAAGCTGATGCTCCTAAAAACAGGACTAGGGGACCACTCAGTACAGGGTAGACCTGGGAGAAGGGAGAAGGGAGAACTGTCTTTGAATAGTGCTCACAAGTGATTCAGTGTGTATGCCTTGTCCTTGGGTAATATTCACAGGTGGTCAGATAATTTGCATGTCAAAACCTGACTTTAGAGCAGTAGTGCCCAGTGTGGGTGATAACTGCCCCCCAAAGGGTGCTGGAGTGATCTGGGAGGCAGTGACAGTCTCAGGTACATTTGGGGGTACTTTATTTTCAGGATTATTTCTGGAAGCAGGGGGCAGGGGAAGGTGGTGTAGATTGTCTGTCTGGTCACTGCCTTAGACAAGCTCAATCCCATTGGCTGGTTGGAGGATTGCAGGTTCCTGGTCCCACCCTGCACCTGGCTTAGAGACCGTGGCCTCCTGGGCACCTATTTACATCCCATGGGGACGTGCCCGTGGAAGCACAGACCTGAGGTTTCAGAAGAACCTAAGTCCCAGGAGGGAACCAAGTTCCTCTCCTGAGTCCTCAGAACTTCGTGATGGAGGCAGTAAGGTTTGGGACCTTCTCTCCACTGGTGCCCCAGTCTGCTCTCATGGAAGGAACTGCAGCCTGCTGCCTTCTGCTCTTTCCTCCTTGCATTTATGCCCCCCCCCACCCCCCATCCCCGTGCTTTGGAAGAGCCCCCATAGGGCACCGAGACCAGGGCCCAAGCCTGTTTGTTCTTCCTCCCTCCTCAGCCCACTGCCATTTCCTTCTTCTCTTCCTGGAACTCCTGACTTCAGGCCTTGGGCTGTAGAACCGGCCCCACCAGCCTAAGGGTGACCAGGAAGCCAAGAGCAGGCACCTGGGGCCCATGTACTGCTCTGTCACCCCGAGCTCAGGGCACATGCCCGGGAGGGTCTTCTGAGAATGTAGTGCCTGCCCCTGCTCCCACCCTGAGCTCAGTGAGGGTCAGTGCTGGGTGGGCATCCCCTGAGGCCCTCGGACCCCTTTGCCTTTGCTTTAGAGAGAAGTTTGCCTCTGGGGGTACACAGCCTGCGTCTCGTTCTCCCCACCAATTCCACAGACCAGCTGGGGTGGGGCCATAGCTCCAGTGTAGCCGGTGGCTGTTTCCAGTGCGTACCAACCCTCAGGCGAGTGCTCCGAACCAGGCAGGGCTGTGGTCTGGATGGGGGCGTATAGTGCAGACTGAGCCCCGGCTCCCTTGCCCTGGGCTAGCCCCCGAGATGAGTTTTGAGGGTCCCATGGAAGCAGCACTTTGTGATTCCATAGCATCCCCCAGGCTGTGGGCAGCACCATGTGCAGGTTTGGGTTGGTGGGTTGCTCTGTCAATGTGGGGGATTTTGGGTTTGTTTGAGGGTTTGTGGGTTTTCTTTTTTCATTTTTCTGGCCTCGCTTAGCAGTGCTCAGGGATTACTTCTGCTCTGAACTCAGGAATCACTCCTGGAGGGGCTCAGCGGAACATGTGTGGTGATGCTGGGGATTGAACCTGGGTCAACCTTGTGCGAGGCAAGCCGCTGTCCACTGTACTACCACTCCAGCCCTTGTCATTGTTTCTAAGTCCTTTCTTCATGCATGACAGGATGCCGCAAAGGGACACAAGCCCCAAAGGGAAAGGGCAGGAGGCAGGGCAGATCCTACGGTGAAGTCAGGCAACAGCGCACAGCATTCTCAGCAGTCCACTGCAGCTGGGGGAGAGCTAGTCAGGCTCCCTGGGTTCCAGGGTTAGAGACTCTCCCCCCACCCCCCCAGCTTCTTAAACTTACAACCCCACATGAGGTCACTCACTGAATTCAAAATCAAAGGCGTTAATCAGTCCATCCCAGGTATTTCTGGCAGTGCCCACCCAGGTTTGCATTTCTGGATAGAAGGGGATGGAGGAAGGAGTGGCAGGAGGAAACAGTAGAAGCAGCTATGGTTTAGAGACCTACAGGGCAAGGAGAGCAAAGATCGCGAGGGTTGAGAGTCTCGGTGCTCCCGCTAGGAGCAGCTCATAGGAAATGTTCTAGAAAAAACGCAGCCATCCTGTGCATGTGGGCTGCACATGGGGCCTGTTCCATGCCCTGCTGGTGAGCTCAGGACCCCCATGTCACAGCGCTCAGCCTGGAGGAAGCAGGTGTGGCTTCTCCTGGTAGTGCCCTAGGAAAGTCACATGGGGGCTGGAGCTGCCATTTGCGCTGTAGAAAAAGAGAGGGTGGCTTTTGCCTCTCAAAGCAGGGATCCCTCTCGGTACTAATGTTTACAGAACAAAATGACACCAATGAACACACCTTTTCGTATCCTAACACAGAGTGTGTGTGCGTAGGAGGACAGACCTGATGGACTTGGGGCTCTGGCAGGGCAGCTGTTTAAACAAGCAAAGCATGTGTGACCACAGGGATCGGGAGGTGCTGGCCGAGGTCAAGGTGTAAATCTCTTTCCAGAGTTGGGGCCAGAATTCTTCCTCCTTCCACGTGGCCAGTATTTCACAACTGGGATTTCAAATAGCTTCTTTGGAGCTTGAAGGTCATTCAATCTTTTGCAAAAGTCCTCGAGGAAGCAACTTGGCAGTTGTGTTTGGAAGGACAAGCAGAGGCCCTTAACTCATAGCGAATTCTTCATTGTATTCTGGGTCCTGCCATTGGGCCGCTGATCCTCCCAGGCTTACTCCCCCAGGGTTTCTTTGCTCGCCCGCACAAATTCAGGGTCATCATTAATAATGCTAGTTGAAGTTGCCAGTGTTCTTTTGACTTGGGCCCGCTCTGAAGATATCTGGGCTGCCTGAGAGCCTTCTAGTCAAGGACAAGCTCTCTGGGTAAAGGAGACGCGTTGTCTGCCTGCTGTGTGGTGTGTGGTGCTGCTGGAGATTGAACAGAGCTGACCAGACCGGCTCTGCTAGTGAATGCTCTGTAGTGTCATTAGCCTCCTTGAGCTGCATTGGCGCAGCCATAGTATTTTGGGGCAATCGTGTAATAACTATAAATGACCACCTAATTCCAACCTCTGATGAGCTGTGATTGGGGATTGGAATCCAGGGGGCCAGAGCTAACTGGGACAAACAAAGCTTTCCTGGAAGGAAAAAACACTGGGGGTAAAGTAGGTTGTGTTGTAGACCTTGGGCGGTTCAAATCACTATATACATCCCTAATAGCTTCCAGACTAGGAAGCATTTTCTGAGCTCCTAGGGGCATCACTAAGGGTAACAGCTGCCAGCCCCACTGTTAAGTGAGAACATGAATGGCAGAGCCACAGCTGAGGTGCATGCTGCGCTGGGGTGCAGCTTCCTGCTGGGGGGAGGGGGAATTAGGCAGCCCTGAACACCCCCAGCCTCGCTGCTGATAGGGCAATAGCACAGCGAGGTCAGGCCTGTGGTGTCGACAGAACTCAAGGTACCTAACTGTATTCTGGCTGGGTATAAACGGCTCTGCAGGCCAATCTCAGTGCTGGGCTATATATTCTGTTCCGTATGTCGGACTCCTGAGATATCACACAAGAATTGCCCTAAGCCGTGGCTGCCCAGAAAGGGACTGGGCCCTTGTGCCAACTGCCTTCCCTCCCGGCTCATTCACCTCTTGTCCCTGCAGGTGACTCGGATCCTGGACGTGTCTGAAGAGATGAAGAGGCATATGGGCGTGAGCTCGGGGTTGGAGCTCATTACCTTGCCGTACGGCCACCAGCTGCGCCTGGACATCATTGAGCGGTGAGTTGCCCGGTTTCTCTGCTTTGCCCACCCTCTCTCTGTAGGGATTGAACCAGGATGCTCAGAGCAGGGAGGGGCATGGCCCCCACCAGCTCTGCAGCCGCGCCCTGGAAGGTGCATGAGTCTGGGCCAACTTTTCCCAGAAGCTGCCACCAGACAATTCCTAGAGATGTACTGAGACAAGCACAGAGGAAGTCTGGGAACAAAGGACACATTTTTGTCCTTGCTCCTGGAGGGGGTGGAGGAGAAGATGGAGGATGGGCTTGTGTTAGTGAGTTTATCCCAGTCATGTTCTCCTGTCCCCCGAGTGCCCCCACTCACTCAGCTGTGGCCCCTTGTCTCTCTGGAGTTTAGGCTTGCCTTAGGAGTTAAGTGGGAGCTTGTGGGAAAGGTTGGGGAGGTCACGGTCCAAACAGTATTTGCTTTGAGGAAGGAGGTCAGAGGCCAGGGTGTGACAGCACTGGGGTTCCAGCCTCTAAAGTGTCACTGTGCTCTTGTCCTATAAAGCTGGCGCCTCCGCTGACATTCAACCCCCATCTGTGAACACTAGAGATTCAGAAATTATAAAAGAGGCACATTTTTTGGTTTTTTTTTGGGAGGGAGGGTGATGGTGGGTGTTTTTTTGATGGGAGGGGCACACCTGGTGATACTCAAGGATCACCCCTAGCGGTGCCTGGGGGACCATATGTGGTGGTAGGGATTGAACCAGGTTACTTTGATGCAAAGCATGCACTCACCCATTGAGTTCTCCCTCTAGCCCCCAAAGGAGGCACATTTATTAGAAAAACAGCATGAGGGAAGGTTCTTGTAGTACCACAGAAGTTGGCTTTCCTGTCACACATAGCTGGTTGACCTGAGTTAGACTGCCTTATAACCTGGTGTACTACATTTACAACTGATTTTGTAGTGGCCCTAACTCACTGCCCATGGTGTCCTACCACACTGGGTCACCGCCTGTATAGTACCCCTTTCTGGGAAGCCTGACATGCCCTGTACGGGAACCTGGAGCCACCCAAAGTGCTTTGCTTTCACTGTGGATTTTTTTACGGGTCCAAAAGCCCCCAGTGTCAGGTGGGCCTTGTGATCCAACGACACCAGCCCCAGCAAGTAAACCAGACACAAGGGCTATAAAGTAGGTAAATCAGTACCCCTAGAAACACCCAGAACACCACGGGGAGCACTCAGGGAGGAGGGCAGCTGTGGCCTGGCCTGTGTGCAACGTGTTTGTCTCCTATAGGTCTGTGGACTTCTGAGTTTCCTCTTTCTGGGCCCAGGCTCCAGGGCTGGCTTCTTGGCCCCACATACTTCCCCTCTGTCTGGGTGCAGTGACCCCATTTTCATCTGAGATGAGCAATGCTACCACAGCCTCTATCTCAGTCTGGATGACCCTCAATTCCCAACCTTATTTTATCAGGATCAAGACATATTTGGGGGCATGCCTTCTGGGTCCAGACTGAGTTGTTAACATCTCTGGCTTCTACTTTCGTTTTCTGACTTTCACTCGTCCACATTCATTTCTCTCTCCTGATGGCCACTTGGCTGGGATCTCACTACTTGGCTTGTTTCCTGCCCCAAGCTGACCTGTGAGACCTATCACTGGGGACTGGGAAGTGGTTTTCTACAGAATAATGAGTGCATGGAATAGAGCCAGCATGAAAGGTTAAGTGGCATCACCTTCTTGTGTTTGAGACTCTAATGCAATACCATAGTACAGCATTAACTTCCGCACCACCCGGAGCCTGCTGACGAGGAAAGTCCTTGGAATAACATTTCATGCCCCAGACCAGCAGGCCAAATTGTTTTCTCAGGGTTTACTCAGGACGTTGGAGGCAGATGTTGAGAGAATGGATACAATGGCCTAAGCAACTGTTGGAAGACAGGCATGAAGTAAATAGACCTTTCATTAACACCCAGCCAGGCACAGTGGGTAAAAACAAATGATCAGTGCCATTTTGGGAAGTTGGTTTACTGTTAATCAAAAACATGTTTGACTTTAACACTTGGCAGACAGGTTGCAAAAACTATTCTCTAAATACAACAGATAATAAAAATAAACTTTAGGTTAGGTTTCATTCATTAAGAGACCTAAGAAATAAGGGAAAGGGGAGGGAGGGAAGAGAAAAAGAACAAAATGTAAAATGGGCCCAGCTGCAGGAGAGATGGACAGACTAACAGCTCCTGTTTGCGAGGTGTCTGCTCGCCACACACAGACAGCGGACCTCACCAGTCATTCCACAAACATTAGAGAAACTAGGCACTGGATCAAAGCTTCCCAGACTTACTTGACCCACTGTCCCCAACTGGGAAAATAATTAATCAGCAGTATTAATGTGTTAAGGTGATTTCCCCCCACCTTCTCCGGAAATCACCTTAACACATTAATACTGGCACTGCAATATGTGTTCACTGAACCACATTCAAGTCTGAGCCACCTGTGGTACCTCCAGCATCAATGTGCTCTGCAAACAATTGGAAACAGCCAAGGCTATGCTCCTCTCCCCGCCCCGCGCATGTGTATAAATGTAGGTGCAGGGAGATATTTCCAGGGAGCAGCACCTTTCCCCCCATTGCACCTATGGCCCAGCTGAAAGAACTTTGAGGCAGTGGCAGCCTAAAGCAGTCACCTCCAGGGAAAGAATAAGATTGCAGATGTGGCCTGCCCTGGGGCCCCAGCTGTCACACAAAGAAAAGCTTCCTGTCCTGGGTCTGAGAAGTTGACCCCTGAAACTCAGGATGAGAAAGGATCGTTAGCAGATACAGGATTTCCACCGAGGAGGAAGGTCTGCCCTCACAGGAAACCTTCCCAGGCAACTCCACAGCCCTCGTCTCCTCTGCTTTCTGGCCCACAGACAGTGGACACACCATTTATTGTGTTTCCTTCCTTCTGACACCATGTCCTCCGCCTAGGTTAAACACATTCATTTTTCCTGTCCCTCTAGGAGGATTTCGGGGAGGTAGGTAGGAGTAGAAGGTCTGTTGGTCAGCGATTCCAGCTTCAGTATTAGAAGAATGAAACTAAATATGCTCAGACTCAGAAACAGAAAAGCTTTATTCTTACTGGGGGGGGGGGGGGGGGGGGGGGGAGGGGGGGTGTCTGGAACTGCCCTCTTCCAGTAAATCACAAAAATGACCAACACAAAGGGAAAGAGGAAGGTCACCCACTATGTTCTCTAGACTTTTTAGAAAACATGGTTGTTGTCCCTTTGGCCACATACATGTGGACATACAAGAAAGGTGATGCAGCAGACAAAAAGGGAATGGACACTATTCAAAAAGCAAGGTCCCCACCCCCACTCCCAAATTGTTACCATGGCAAAACTGGGAGAGTCTACAAAGTTAGCCAGCATGCTATTGGAGCTGTCGTAAACAAATCAAGGGCAAGATTCTTGCCCAGAGAATTAATGTTCGTATTGAGCATACTAAGCACTCGAGTGTCGAGACAGCTTCCTGAAACGGATGAAGGAAAAGGATCAGAGAAAGAAGGAAGCCAAAGAGAAAGGGACTTGCATTCAACTGAAGCTCCTGCCTGCTCCACCAGAGTGGGAAGGAGCCTGAGTTGCTGGAACCATATGAATTCGTGGCATAGGTGTTTGTTTAAAAACAGACTCCTGGACTATATAAAAAAATTGAAAAATAAAAATTTTAAAAATAAAGCTTTACTGAAAAGTAGAAGAGAAAGTAACTCCTAAAGGGAGGGATTTTGCTTACAACTAAGTTAGGCTCCTTGCATCGGGTTTTTATAGGAGGATTGGGTCTTTGTGCTGCTAAGGTGCAGTTGGTCTGTTCAAGACCCCTTAGGTTAGATAGTTCATCAGCTGTCTCTCAGTCTCCTGTGATCCCAGGCCTGGACAGAATTTCTGGTCTTGAGGAAAGTGTAAGCTCCTGCTGTCTTGAGGGGAGCTCGGGGAAACTGCAGAATGGTGGCAACTAAAATGAGATGCCACTCTCAGCAGCTGCTGAAGGGAAACTAAGCATTCTCGATCATTCGAGGGACCTGGAGTTACCCCAAAGCAGAAATTCCCTTGTGAGTGTTGGGAATGCTTCTGGGTACCTCTCCCTGCGGCAGATAGGGGCCCTGAGCTTCTGGGGCTTCTGGCATTTGGACCCTGCAGAGTATACCCTGGAGGTCTCCTCAGGTCCTGAGTTAGTCAACCTGATGTGGGGTGGTTTATTTGCACCCAAACTGTCTCAACTTCCAGCAAATGGGCCCAGCCTGACTGCCAGTTTCCTCCCGCTCAGACACCATACCATGGCCATTGGTATTGCGGTGGATGTCCTGGGCTGCACGGGCACGCTGGAAGAACGTGCAGCCACCCTTGACAGGATCATCCAGGTGGCAGTGGAACTGAAGGACTCCATGGGGGACCTTTACTCCTTCTCGGCCGTGATGAAAGCCCTGGAGATGCCACAGGTAAACCCCTACTGTCTCTTGCATGGCTGCATACAGTCTATGCTTACCAAATCACGGTCACTTTAGTCCGTCTTGAAAGGTAAGTTGAATCAGTGAATATAGCTTTGACTAGGTGCAGCTCTGGGGCTGTAAACAGCCACTGTTTGTCCAGAGGCCCACAGTCAGGGATCTATGTGACTCCATAGCTATCTGTGATGAGCCACAGTATCTCAACACATGGCTGAATGAACCTTGGTAAAGCCCCTATCACATGCTCCTTGTTCTAGAGTTTGTTGTGGATGGACATGACGTGGCCACTGTGTCCTGGGACTTTCCAAAGGCACCCACTTGTGTATGGAAGCAGCATGAGAGCACGTATGAATGACCTTTGCAAAGAACTGTGCCCTAGGTCCCTCAGATCAGCCCATACAACCCTCAGGTTTGTGGACACCAGCAAGGAGGCTGCTCTTTGCAGTTCCCAAGGCAGAGTGTACACTCAGCTTAACTGGCTGCACTTTGGATGACTTTTGTAGTAACAGATTTTCCTGTTATGTCATATTATTTGCTCTTATCCAAAACCCACTGTGATTTCAAGGACTGAAACAACAGTGGAATCAGTGCATGAAGCCTCCAACCCAGAGGTTCTGAGAGTGGGAAGGGGCTATTCTGTGGGAGCACATGCTTTTGTAGGTAGGTCCAGAAGGCGCCCCTGTTGAGGGCAGTCCTGTCACCCCAGTGGGCAAATGATCTTTTCTGAGAATCAAATGGAATTCTTTAAATAATGGACAGAGTTGAGACTTCCTTGTCTGATTCATGCAGAAAATGCGCATTTCTCCCCAGACACGGGGTGACAGCATATCTTGATGCTAACTGAACTGTTCTAAGAGAAATGAGAAGGGATGAGGGATGGTATCATGTGATCTGGGCAGTATCTTTGTCACCACTGAGTAACACCACTGAGTATTTTGCATCATATTTCCATATCCTTGCTTGAGTATAATGCTCAGAGAGGATAGGACATAGAGGCAGTGCCTACCAACGGTCAGTGTACTCTTCAATCCAGGAATTCTTTTCACTCATGGAATTTTGTCCTCTAGTTTCTAACATCTAAACACTTTTTAAGTCTTGATATTTAGTAGCACTGTTCTCCCATTGTTCATTAGACCAGTAACGTCTTACAACAAATTGTGAAACTTGTTACTGTTTTTGGCATATCAAATACGTCAGGGAGAGCTTGCCAGGCTTTGCCGTGTGGGCAAGATACTCTCGGTAGCTTGCCGGGCTCTCCGAGAGGAGCGGAGGAATCGAACCTGGGTTGGCTGCGTGCAAGGCCTTACCCACTGTGCTATTGCTCTAGCCCCTTGATATTTAGTAATAAGAAAATATTTAAAACAATATTTTCCCTATAAAGATGTAGATATACACACAGAACTGATGTCTTTGGGATGAGCTGGACAGGATTAGACTAGGGATTCAATTTTCTTGAATGCTCCTTTCACAAAAACCTTTCTTCCAGATCACAAGGTTAGAGAAAACCTGGACAGCTCTACGGCACCAGTACACTCAGACAGCCATTCTCTATGAGAAACAGCTGAAGCCTTTCAGCAAACTCCTGCACGAAGGCAGAGGTGAGTGAGGACTGCCTTGTGTTGGTGATGAGCGCCTTCACAGGTTGTATTCAGGAAGAGGCTATCCAGGCTTTTCTCAGAGGAGAGGACCGCTTGTGTAGGTCTGTGGTGGCTAAAACAATATATACATGGCTACCACCACACTTCATTCTGTGCTTAACTTTGGGGAAAAAATATGATACAGAAACTGTCCTTATTTTTCAGAGACCACATGTGTTCCGCCAAACAATATTTCGGTCCCACTGCTAATGCCCCTTGTGACCTTAATGGAGCGCCAGGCTGTCATGTTTGAAGGAACCGATATGTGGGAGAAAAATGATGAAAGCTGTGAGATTCTGTGGAACCACTTGGCAACAGCCCGATTCATGGCAGAGGCTGTGGAGAGTTACCGGAGGAACGCTGAGCGGATCCTGGAAGGTAAGAGCTGTTCTCCAGTTGCATTTACTGTGAGGAAGGAATGGAAAAGCAGGGATGCTCTCTCCGAGAAAAAGATCAAGGAGGAATTGATTATTTCCTAATGACTCAAGAGCCCACTTTATGTTTTTCACCTGGCATCTGTGCAGAGGAAAACTGGAGAAGTGGAGGCCAAAAGATAAGGTAGGAAGAGTAGAAAGAATGAATGTCCCAGTTTGATCCAGAAGCATATGGAAGGAGCAATAGTACAGCGGGTAGGGCGTTTGCCTTGCATGCGGGTGATGCGGGTTTGATCTCCAGCACCCCATACAGACCCTGGAGCACTGCCAGGAGAAATTCCTGAGCGTGGAGCCAAAAGTAACACCTGAGAATCGCTGGGTGTGACCCCCCCCCACCCCCAAACTAAAAAACATATGGAAAGGAAGATTATCTGTTTCACTCTAAAATAGTTATTACTTCAGAATTTGGAATGAAATGATTTGCCTTATGTCTGTGGTGAGCCTGTTTCACCTTTTCTAGGAAATGTTTTCAGTATTGGTGGAGTGCCTCCTTATACAAAGCTGAAAACAGAATTCATTGGCTATTCTTCAAGTCACTGTTTCAGGGTGGGGTCTTCAGAAAAGTGTGCTTTAAAGAAAAGTATTTGATAGTATTTCTCAATTGATCCTGCCTTCGTTTTATACAGAAACTTGCCTGTGAATCTGGTAAAGACAGAGATTATCATATCAAGAGATGCCCAGAGTAGGGACTGACTGGAGGTTACTATCTGGCCTTTGTTAGCAGTCAAAAATAGTGTTGCAACACATGCAGGGACAGATGAGTTTTCTATTGTCCTCGTTAGAAGCAAACTCTTGTGAAGTATGTGGTGGGAATGTATTTAATGACACAGCAAACTACTCAAGCAGTAATCAATGATGATAGCCACATATCTGTCTGACTTCTGATGAGAGAGGTGGAAACCAGTAGCTAGACTTGACTGAGCTTCCTGACTTTAAAGGACTTAAATTAAGAAAAGTAATGGAGAAACAGAACCATTATCTATAATTGATTAATGACAAATATATGAAAGTAATTCATTAGTCTTTCAATAGATGCTGCTGGTTATATTGATAAAATGGATCACTGACTCAAAATGGAAGAACTGATATGTAAAAAACTCATATAAAAAAAAACATGGGGAGGGGGTGGAGTGATAGTAGGGCCAATCTGGGTTCAACCCCTAAGCACTATCAGGTGTGGCCCAAAAAGAAAACAGGAGAAATTCTTTGTGCCCTTGGCTTAGGCAAAAATTTCTTAAGATACAAAAAGCCTGAACCATAACAGAAAATATTTGCTAAACCCTAAATATTTAGATCTTTTTACAACTCTTTAAGACAGACACAATCTAAATAAAACTCATGGGGGCCAGACTGATAATACAGAAGGCAGGGCGCTTGCTTTGCAGCGGACCTGTGTTCTATCTTTGGCATCTCATGTGGTATTGAGCACTGTCAGGTGTGCTCCTGTACCACTCCTCCAAAAAAACACTTTATCAGAGAAAAGACATGAGTAACTACAAAAGATATTCCAAGCATTAATCACTAGAGAAATGTAAACTCAATTCTAAGTGAGATAACAGAACAAGTTGTCTGGGATGTCTACAACTAAAAGAATGAAGTCCAGGGGCTGGAGCCAGCACAGCGGGTAGGGCATTTGCCTTGCACACAGCCAACCCAGGTTAAATTCCCAGCATCCCATGTGGTCTCCTGAGTGCAGAGCCAGGAGTAACCCCTGAGCATCAATGGGTGTGACCCAAAAAGAAAAAGAAAAAGAAGTCGTAAGAATGAAGTCTAAAATGGTGATGCAGAAAGATTCTAGAATCATCCTTTCCCAGGGAAACACTGAATTGATAGTAAAATACTGTTCATTTCCCTCTGAAAAAGACTTGAGAACCAGCTGAGATGTAATTCTACCAAAATGCCTACCCCTAGACAGAGGCCCACAGTTAAAAGGGATTTTACAGACCTGAGCCTTCTTGACGAGAGTTTGCAATTCCACATGAGGCACCCTAGCCCCATGAAGACTTGACCAGAAGGACAAACTCTCAAAACATTTGACTCTGAAAAATAAATGAACAGGGCTTATGTTTAGGAGACCCTAATATATTACTTTATAAATATTTGTATACTTTGGAAGCTAGACTTTTATCAACCTGAAGCTAAGTGCTAAGATTCCTCCCTTTGAGACACTGAAATATCTAGGCATACACTCAAAGAACAGAAAAATAAGGCTTCTTAGACAATCACATAGAGAAGTCTAAGAGCCAGAGCAAGATTGAATAATTTTAGAATTTCTCCTCACACACTGAAACAGAATCGAGAAAATAGAGGAAAATGCCACAAATGAAAATTCAACCAAAAATGTCTCAGAAAAGCACCCTAGTAAGATGAAGATAAGCAATCCACCTGATTAAACATTCAGAGTAAAGGTCATAAAGATGCTCACTAATCTTGGAAGAAAAATGAGAATTTCAACAGAAAATAAAAATATCAAGCAGAAATCACAGAGCTGAGAATGAATTAAATCCAATAGCAAACAGGAGGAAGCAAAAGAACAGTGTTTCTCAACTGGAGGCCACCGGTGAAAATTAAGAGGCTAAGAAACAGTGTTTCTGTTTCTAGAGAACAAGATCAAGAGGACAAGACAGTAGAATTTATATAGCACTGTCATCCCGTTGTTCATCGATTTGCTCGAGTGGGCACCAGTAACGTCTCCATGTGAGACTTGTTACTGTTTGTGGCATATCGAATACGCCACGGTAGCTTGCCACACTCTACCATGTGTGCAGGATACTCTCAGTAGCTTGCCAGGGAGGGGCAGAGGAATTGAACCTGTGCAAGGCAAACGCCCTACCCGCTGTACTATCGCTGACTGGACTGGAATTTATATAATGAAGAAAAAAATTATCAAGTGGCTTATGGAATAACACCAAGCAGACTGGCATTTGCACTATTGGGTCGGAGCCCAGAATGAGAAAAAAAAGGGAGCTTAAAAACTTTATTAACCTGGGGTGGGAATGATAGTACAGAGGGTAGGGAGGGCACTTGCCCTGCATGTGGCTGATGGACCTGGGTTCCATCCCCGACAACCCATATGGTCTCCTAAACATTGCCTGGTGTGAACAAAATGAAACAAAATAAAAAGAAAAAAACCCTTTACTAACATGGGAAGTGAACAGATATCTAGATACAATATGAAAAGTTTCAAGTAAGATGAATTCAGAGAAATAAAGGAGGGCCAGAGAGATAGTACAGTGAGTAGGATGCTTGCCTTACAGTGGCCAGCACCACCCAATACAAAACAAAAAGTCAGAGAAGAGACTTTCAAAAGCAGCAGCAGCAGAAAATTTGGCTACATAAAGGAATGCTCATGAAACTCAGGCAAGGGGCAAGAGAGATATTTGAATAGGCTGAGCACATGCTTTGGATGCCTGTTGTGTCCCAAAACAAATATAACTGTCGGCAAGAGAGAATGGTATGATATACTCACAGGAAAATATTTCTGACCAAGAATACCTGGCAGAGTTATTCAGAGTTAGAGAAAGGATTTTCCAAAGTAAAGGAATTTACCAACAAGCAACAGTCTTTACCAGGGTTATTAAAGGGATTTAATTAGGCTGAGAAGAAAAGTAACTAATAAAAAGAAAACATAAAAAAGTAAAAATTCCACTGTTAAGTGTACATTAAAGGTAATATTCAAGCTAGATAGATGGGTAAAAGATAATATTAATAAAAATTATTAACAAATGGAATGTAAAATGACATAGATGAGGGGGAAGTAAAACATAATTTTTGAATGTATACAACTTATCAACTCAAAATAGATTATGACATAGTTACATATGTTAACCTCGTGGTAACTACAAGCAAAAACCAGTAGTAGATAAAAGTCATCTAACTACAAATCAAAGGAACATGGACAATGAACAAAAGTCAGTAAGTACATCCCTACCAGTAATTTACAAAAGACTAAATTTTGCATTGGATTTACTGAAATGAATCATTTGATTTAAATAACATCAGTCAAAAGATACAGAATGGTGGAATGGACTAAAAGGGATAAAAAAAATCTTAAGGATGCTACTCACAAAAGACTCAAACTACAAACAAAGACAAAAAAAAGGATGGAAAATAGTATCTGAAGTCACTGGAAAATATTTTATTTTGGGACACACCCTTTGGTGCTTGCTCAAGCAGTGCTAAGGGAACCATGCATGCCATGGACCGAACCCTGACCTCCAGCATGCACTCATACCACTGAGCTATCTCTCCACCCCCAGAAAAAATGTAAAGGCAAGAGTAGCATTAGATGAGTTCAAGCAATCCACCTCAGACCAACAAAATACTTATTCTTTTCAAGTATTCACAGAACATTCTTAAGGACAGCTATGTTATAAAAGAAAAATAGTATCAGTTTAGCACAGCAGGTAGGGTGTTCGCCTTACAAGCGGCCAACATGGCCGACCCGAGTTCGATTCCTCCGCCCCTCTTGGAGAGCCCGGCAAGCTACCGAGAGTATTTGATATGCCAAACACAGTAACAACAAAGTCTCCAATGGAGACGTTACTGGGCCCGCTCGAGCAAATCGACGATCAATGGGAGGGCCTTTACCTTACCTTTACCTATGAAAATCAAAACTAGGTAAAGTTTTTTTTCAGGTAATAATGGTATAAAACTAAAACATGGAAAAAACGCAAATTTGTGGGAAAAAACATGTTACTGATCTACAAGTCTATAAGAAAAATTAAAGACAAAGTCAGAAAACACCTAGAGACAAAAATGAAGACATGACTTATTAGAACTTATGGTAGGTGGGGGATAGTACAGCGGGTAGGACATTTGCCTTGCACATGGCCGACCCGGGTTCGATTCTCAGCATCCCATATAGTCCCCTGAGCACCACCAGGAGCAATTCTTGAGTGCAGAGCCAGGAGTAACCCCTGTGCATCGCCTGGTGTGACCTAAAAAAGCCAAAAAAGAAAAGAAATAGAACTATGGGATGTGGCCAAGCCATATTAAATGGGAAGTGTACAACATTACAGGCCTACTCAGAAAACCACAAGTAACCAGTGGTAACCAGAAGAGCAGAATAATCTAGGTAACTTCAGGGTAACCGGAAGAAACAATTAGGTCCATATTATATGAGCCCATTTGTGAAATTTCTGAAAAAGTGAAACAATAATAACAGAAAACCTATCAGCAGTTGCTGGGGCGTGGAGTAGGAATAAAGATTGATCACAAAGAGTTCATTTTTATATATCCCCAAGCTGCTAAAATAGGTAAATCATGGCTTGGATGTTACACATCAACAAACTTGTAAACTGTCATCCAAATACAACTGGCTTTTGCAGGGGAGGGGCACACGTGGCTCTGCACTCAGGGATCACTTCCTGGCAGGCTCTGAAGACCAGTTGGGATGCTGCGATTGAACCCCAGTCAGCTGTGTGCAATGCAAATACCCTACCTGCTGTACTATTGCTCTGGTCCCCCAAATCCCGTTTGAAAATAAATTTTAGTGCATTTGTTACTTTTTCCTAAAGACATTCCAGTCCTTGAGGACATCACTCTACCTTTCCTTTCATAGAAGAGGGTCTCTGCTGTATTTTGGTGGCCGAGGCTGAACCCAGGGCTTTGTGTGTGCAAGGCAAGTGCTCTACCACCAAGCCACATCCCTGGCTCAGATTCTCTATTATTTCCTCTAGAGGGGGATGTTTTGAAATTCTGAGAGAACATGAAGTTCATTCTGATCCTACTTTAAACAAGCAAATTTTCAGTCTCTTTTAAGTACTATTAGATACTGGGTTTTAGGCACAACAGACATTAACTTTAGGATTTTGCTTTGTTTCGTCTAGGTTTTCAACCAGATGAAGAAATGAGTGAGATCTTTAAGACTGAATTTCAAATGCGACTGCTGTGGGGCAGCAAAGGTGCACAAGTCAATCAGGCAGAGCGATACGAGAAGTTCAACCAGATTTTAACTGCCCTTTCACGTAAACTGGAACCTCCTCCTGTAAAGCAGGCAGAGCTTTGATAACTCTCCAGAGAACTTTGATATATTCTTTCAGGCTTCTCCAGTTTCTTCTTTGGAAAAGCGTGCCTATTCAATTTGAAAAGGTAATAATGTGCAAATCTGACAATATACAAGCTTTTAGTATCCACAGGATACTAAATATGAAAATCGCACAAGGCACACTTATTTATAAACTGTTTAAAATTACTACTGATTTTTAAAGAATAATTTATTAAGGTAAATATTGCTAATGTTAATCAGCAGATTTAAGAGAAAACCTAGCTATGTCGACTAAGTGGCTATTTTCAATTATCAAGGTATTTAACCATTTTAGTTTTGTGTCAGATAAGTGTAAATAGAAAAAAAGTTTTACAGCATGAAACATTTAAGAAGGTATCAGTTGTATGATATTCTTTGAATATTAAAAAATGTATATAGTCATATGAAAATATATCTTTTGTGAAAGTTGTGTCCGGTCTCTTTAATATTAAATAACTGGTAGAATAATAGTATCATTTTACCTCCAACCTTCTCTGGGCACCCTTTCCCCATCTGTTATGTCCTGATAATAAATTAAAATTAATGAAAGTATTAGGGTTGAAAAGTTGGCTTCAGAAGTCCAATGATCAGATTCAAGCTGTGGTGCTGGCAGTTTGGATTTTGATGATATCTAGTGCAACATGGGATAGACATACTCTATATCAAGACACATGTGGAAACAATGTCATCAAGAAGAATGCTGGAAAAAATTTAGATCCCAAGAACTTCAGGTACTAAAATATGTGTATCAAAGGAAAAATGAATGCAAGTAGGAAATAAACATTTAAAATAATTTAATTTTGTCAGGTTGGCTCAGTTGTAGAATATATGCCTTCCAAGAGTAAGGTTCTGGGTTTGGTCCCAGCACACCACTCTCTTCAACCTCTCCAGATTCAGACTTTCAGAAAAACTAGATTCTAAAAACTAATTTGTAATAAAATTAAAAATACAACAAATGCTAATATTTAATAGAACATTAATATTCTATTTACTGTGTAATGAAACTAAAAAGGCAACAAATACTAATATTTAATGGAATATTAGATCAAACTCAAGCTCTAATGAACTAGAAGACATATCTGAAGACCATGACCTCAGAATACAGGAAACAGGATTAAAAGACAAAGGTTTGAGAAATCACCTCCAGCACTGTGTAAGATCTTTCACCAGCCATGATCCAGAGACTCATAAATAAATCTAGAAAGAGACTAACAAGTTGCAGAAATTCTTCTGGAACTCATGCAAGGCTGAGTTATTGGGGGGTACCCCAGAGAGGGTGGGTGAGCCCAGCATCCATCCAAACAGAGCCCTGGCAGCTGCAAACCTCTACATTCCACAATCACTGCTATGCTCCCGGCTGGACTCCACTGCTCAGGACGAGCCTCAACAAGAAATTAATCTGTTGAAAAACTCAAGGTATGCGGGTTTTGTGACTGAAATCTCCAGGCTTTTACAGAGTGAGGGGTGAGTTACCTCCCTCCATCTCCCTGTACTTCCTGGAAGGCCTGGCAGTCACGCACATGCCCCCAAATGCCATCCAGTTAAAAATTTAACACCACCTGTATCACCGCGTTAAAAATTTTGGACTTTCTGGAGTGACATCTCAAATTCTAGACACTGATAAACCAGGAAATAGCACACCAGATTGGATGGGACATAATGGGAAAGGCATCCAATCTTGATTAACATTTTAGTAATCTCTTATACAAAGACTTAATATCTCCATTTTGTGACACACAATCCTCATTAACTTTCTTCTGAGGAAATTTTTTGATCATTCTTTTAGCAAATTATAACAAGCAATATAAAATAAATTACTGAGGGCATGCTATGGGGGCGGGCCTAAGGGGTGGGTGGGAAAATTGGAATCTGGGGTGGTTGAGAAAGTAATGGTGGTGGATGGATGCAATTGTGGTGGGATTTGTGTCTATAATCATCCTCATAAACAACTTTGTAAACCACAGTGTTTATAAAAGGTGTAAGGGGAAAATTAAAATTTAAAAAAAAAGACGAGGGGCTGGAGCGATAGCACAGCGGGTAGGGCATTTGCCTTGCACGCAGCCGACCCGGGTTCGATTCCCAGCATCCCATATGGTCCCCTGAGCACCGCCAGGAGTAATTCCTGAGTGAAGAGCCAGGAGTAACCCCTGTGCATCGCTGGGTGTGACCCTCCCCCCAAAAAAGACGAAAGATTGAAACAAAATAACCTTATGCATGTAATTAGAGCTTTAAAAGGAGAGAAAGTGGTGTGGAGAGAAATACTTCATCCTGAATAAAAGATTAGACTTTCTGGTGAGGTTCAAAGAGGGGATGGTTCAATGTTTAAAAGCACCTGCCTTCCATGTATGAGGTTTAAAGTGCCATCCATATGCAGTATGGTCCAGTAACACTGCAAGAGACTCCAGGTTTATGCAAACACCACAACTGAAAATGTGCTGACACCCTGTGAGAGTTCTGCAAAGAATAGACAGGCTCCAATGAGCACCGCACCCAATCACTGTGAGCTCCAGCAGCAACAAGAGAGGGAAGGGCAGGGTTGCATGAGAGTTAATAGTTCTTAAAATGGCCTATGTGTGTTCAGTGCAATCCCAATCAAAATCTCCAAAATGAGTCCAAGTTAAGTTGGTTAAGGTTCTAAAACCTGCATGAGTACAAATAATCAAGACAACCTAGAAAAGGGGTGGTGTTGGGGATAACAGATCGGTCAGGTATAAAAACACATTACAATGCAATGATAACTATAAACAAATCTGATATATATAAAATTAGCAACCAGTAAGGAAAAAGGATGATTTTTCAAAATTCTTGACAATTACATAAACAAAAGAAATAGGTAATATTTCACTTATCATATGCAAAAATAAAATCTACATGGAGAATCTGCATGTCAACTTGCAAAACAATAATGCTCTTAGAAGAAAACTGAGTATCTTCGGTGGGGTGGGTTGAATAAAGGTCTGAGGCCCTGCCAATGACAAGCAAATGCCTTTGGAAACGGATCCTCAAGATACAGTCACCAATTCTGACCAGCACTTAGATGTCTCCTGATAAACTCTGAGCCAGAGTAAACAACTGTTTGTTATATGGCAATACAATGAACACCCTTAATATGTACAGAACTCCCATAAATAAACATGGAAAGACAAAGGGAAAAAGGACAGACTGATACATATGAAAACTTCATTAGGAAAAGCAGAAATGCTATACTACATCCATTAAACTGACAAAAATTGAAAAGTCTGGCTGATAAGTGTAGGTCAGGATGTGGTCATAAATAACCTTTAACCTTTACATACAACTACTAAGTACATTAATATGCTACAATTACTTTGGGGAGAAAACTTGGCATTATCTTTTTTTTTTTTTTTTTGCTTTTTGGGTCACACCTGGCGATGCTCAGGGGTTACTCCTGGCTCTGCACTCAGGAATGACTCCTGGCAGTGCCCGCGGGACCATATGGGATGCTGGGAATCGAACCTGGGTCGGCCGTGTGCAAGGGCAAACGCCCTACCCGCTGTGCTATCACTCCAGCCCCGCATCTTTAAAAGTAATTCACAACCTAGCAATTTCACTCCCAGATAGATCTCAGAGCAACTTTTATCAGTAAATCAGTAAAAATGAACAAGGATGTGCACAACAGCAGTACTGTTTATATCAGCGAAGTTCAGGAAAGAGACCAATGTCCATCAACAAGAAGACAGATACGCTGTGTATATTTACAGAATAAAGTACACAGCAAAATGTACTACACATAAACATGGATAAATCTTAGAACAATGTTGAGTGAAAAGGTAAGTCTGCAAAAGTCGAAACATTTTAAAAGATTGATGGCAAATATAAATCAGTGTGCAAATTAAGTATAGCAATCCGTTTAGTTCTTCATATTAAACTTTATAACATGATGAGAATATCACAAATCATTCAGCAAGCCCTCAATTTCCAATCTTTAAAAGATTGGGTTGGTTACATTTGCAGGGTGGGGGCGGGGGGACTGGCGGCTGTCACAGCTAAGTGATTTAGCTCCCATCCCTGATTTGATACAGGGCTGCAAACTCTTCTAATCACTTCCCCTGTTCAACTGTTAAGTCACAAATTTAGAAATGTGCTGGTCCACAACTCACCTCACTGGATAGGATGATACAATCTGGGTGCTGGCTCTACAGCAAAAGCCAGTGGTTGAAGTTTCCACTGGAAAATGAGAGAATTGAGAAAGGAAAGGATTCAAAGCTAGAAAGTTATCCAATAGATAATGTTGGTTGCCAGAAATGGGAGCTTGCGTTTATCTTAATCCACATCTAAGACTGTCTCCCACTCTGGCCAACCAGGTACCACCCAATGACTGTTGAAATACCAGTTGGAATGTCAAACAAAGATAGAGGGGAAAAGCTAGGAAACTAGAAACAAATGGGGAAATACTACTACAGATCCCACTGGCCCAGAGAGAGATCAATCCAGCAAGTGAAGGCAAACATGGACTTGGGAGAGATGGAGAGGGCAGACAAATGTGATGCTCCTGTCTAGAGGAGTTGTGGAAGAGGGAAAGTTGACTGCTGTTACACATGTATAAACTCTTATTAGTACTGAACATTCCTGGTACAGTCCTTTCCCCAGTTTCTCTTCACTACACAATGCAGGCCACCCTCCACCAAAGAGTAAGTTGCTAAATGACCTCTGAGGGTCATTGCACCCCAGTGGGCCTTGCTCCCAAACAAGTTACTGGGTACCACCTACACCCCCTTCCAGCCTGGCCAACTGTTACCAAATCTTAGTCTCATCTTCTCTCCTAGAACATTTCTTTGGAGTATGACCCAAGAAAGTCTTCAGGTCCCTCTCTCACTCAAGGACCTACAAAACTACTGAAGATTCCAATACCTGAAATAAATAATAGTAAATCCAGAGTTAGCCGTCTTTTAGTGTTGCCCCAGTGCACAAACCATGTCTCATGGAGTGTCTTGTGATTTCTGAGATAAATCACCATATGCTAGAACATAATGACTAACTCCTTTTACTTTTAGAATTTGTTTGCCAACCAGTATGGAAATACTTCAACATTTATCATTCACTATGGCTACATCAGTGTGCATTGGCTGAACAGCATTCCTGAAACAGCAAACACTGAACAACACCAGTGTCATCTTTAAGAGCAAAACCATTATCACTCAAGTTTAGAAAAAAAATACCCATGTGGCAAAACTAAATTAATAAAACCATGTATTCTTCCTCTTTTTCTTTTTGTGAAGCAACACAATTTTTATTGAAATTCTATTCAGTAAGATGAGAGGGAAGAGAAAGGGAAAAGAACATTCGGGAATGAACATAGGCTTCTCTAGAGAGGAAATAGTAAGCAAAGAAGTAGACAAGCAAGCAAGATATGTGTTAAGGAAGAACAAGGGCTTGAAGCACAATTCTCTCCATCTCCTAT